TCAAATGTAAGAGAGGGTAAAAGAAAGCAACAAAAGAACGGGGTCAGTAGAGAGACGGGGGAAGGAGGAAATGCGGAAGGAGAAAGTAGAGAGAGAGAGAGGCGGAAGGAGCGAGATAAGGTCGAGGCGGAAGGAGAGAATAGAAGACGGGAGAGGGGGAGTTAAATATGAGGAAGAGTAGGAAAAATAAAAGGAAGAGGCAGTCGAAGAAAGAGAAGGAAAAAGCGAAACAATCGAGAGGAGAGGAGGAAAATAATAAAGAAATGTAGGGGTAGAAGGAAAAGAAGAAGAGAAGGAGGAAAGTTTAAGAAGAACAGTTGGAGGAAAAGAAGAAAGAAGAAGAGAAGGAAAAGATAAAAAGAGGAGACGGAAAAAAAAAGAATAAAAAAAGAAGAGGAGGTTGAAAAGAAGAAAGAAGAAGAGACGGAAAAGAAAGAAGAGATGGAAAAGAAAAAAGAAGAAAGAAGAGGAGACGGGAAAGAAGAAGAGGTGGGGCGGAAAAAAGAAAGAAGGAGGAGGAGGAGGCGGAAAAGAAGAAAGTAGGACGAAAAGTAGAAATAAAAGGAGGAGGGGAAAAAAAGAAAAGTAGAAGGAGGAGGAAAAGAAGAAAGAAAAAAGCAGAAATGAGAAGAAAGAAAAAAGAAGAAATAAGAAAGAAAAAAAGAAAGAAAAAGAAAGAAAAGCTAGCGAAAAAAGAAAGACAAGTAGTTTTAAAGAAAGCAAAATGAAAGGAGGAGGGAATAAGGAAAACAGAGAGGTAGGAGGTGAAAGAGGAAAACCAAAAAGATATGGAGGGTAGAACATTAGCGTAGAGAAAGAGTGAAAATCCGACTTCGAAAAGGCAAGGAAAGAAACGGGTTATGAAAAAGAAAGAAATGCAATTCTTCACTATTATAATCATGTATTTGCATTATTCTTCTTTTCTATGAACCGTGTCCCTTCAGGACGTGCGCGATCATGGTTCTCCATAACTTCCTGTACCTCTTAGCAATGTTTCTGTTTGCATAGAGTCGAATAAAATATTCATATTTCGTTTTGCTTATAACTTGTGCAATTTCCTTAAAGGGGTTGTTGTCTATATTATTACGTGATTCACAATAGAAATCGTTCAACATCTACTTTGGTCACCATTTCCTGTTGATACCACGTGGCTTCCTTCTGTTCACAAGATACTATTCTTAGTATCCGCCTCCCCATCTACACAGTGATGATAATGGAACTGATTGTAGATGATGTCAAAACACTGTCTCAATCTTCAGAATCATAAAAAAAAATATAACGTACTATTGGGCAAAAACAATGTACACAATTATGGTGAAATGAAAGATATTGATGAAATGATATCACTATTTCTATGACAAATGTTCACATTAACTTCATTCTTTCATTTCACCAATTTAGGCCTTTTAAGTAAATCATCGATTTTTTTTTAACCCATTCACCACAAATCTGCTCTCAATTGTAAAATAATAAATGCAATAAAACTATGAAATTATTTAATTAGAAAAAACTTTTAATTGCTTTGATAAATAAGATTTATTAAGGACACTATTGTCTTAAGAAGAATTTTTTTTTTTTTTTTATGAATAATTAATTTTTACAAGAATTTTTCATTTTTTTTTAAATTTTAATTAAATAATTTATAATATTTAAAAATCTGCATTGCTTCAAGTCGGCGGTTTGTTGATATTGTTAAGTGAAAAGTACATTTACGAATCAAAAATTGAAAAAACATAACAGTAGTTAGAACCCAATATTTTTTTTTTAAATTTTAGAGTATAAACGGTCTCAAATTCTACCTATGGGAAGCTTTACTTGACATAATCCTTAAAAAGATTACGTAATTTAACTGTCGTTTGACGCACTGCATTTTTTTTTTACTTCCCTTATTCAGTTTTGTTTCATCATTAACGTCTTTGCAAATCATCCTTTCAAAATTTCAAAGTAAGTTTTACTCTTTTTTTAAATTACTATTTCACTAAATATTTTATTTTATGTATTTATTTTAGTTTGGGTTTTACTTCAATTAATTATTTTTTTGTTTAAGTTAGTGAACTTAAGAACCTAGAGACAGAACGCAAATTTCATAAAGCACCTTGAAACCTAACTAAAAGTCAATTAAATATTAAATAATTACTGAAAATATGTTAATTTGTAAAAATTACTAGGTAGTTAAAAACTAAAAGAAATGCGTTCACTTACATTTTGTAAATTTATGTCAATTCTGGTCATCCCTAAGAGATGCTATCACCTCAGAACTTAGCGATATGTCAATAGAGATCAAAGAAATTCAGGACCTATCGTTAAAAATGCTTGCATATAACATTTTTATGCTATAAGTAAGATTTATTTCAAATCAGATTAATTTAAATTTTCTAATTTTATTCAAATAACGTGTCAGAAATATATATTTTATTTTTGGAAGATTTTTAAAACTGATAATTTTGTTTTGTTTAAAAATTTCTTAAAATTAAGAAAATGGCTGCTTTTAAGAAAATTTTAAATCGAGCATATATTTGATATTCCAATCTATATAATTTCTATCTAAAATACACCAGAATATTTTACTCATTAGAAATAATAGTTAATCATTTAGCTTTTAATTAAATCTAAAATGAAATCTTCAAGAATGTTTTTCATTTTTTAAAAATTCATTTTAAACCTGAGGTATCAAAAATTCAGTGGAGGTACCTACTTAGGTAGGTTGTTCAATATACTCTCTCATTTGTACCTCTTTATCTTATTAATATATTCAAGTGTGACTTACTTAAGTGTGTTGGTATGTTTATTGATGAAGTGTTCACAGCCCTTTTAGTTTCGGCGTGAAAAGTTCATGTCACATAGTTCGAAAGAGGAAAACCTGGAAGAGAGAGCTACTTAAGGCTTCCTTGTTTGTATACCCCAGAGCTGCCACTGATACTGTTTCTATGTCTGTTAAGGCACTACAGTTGAAAAAATGTTATTTAAGCAGATACAAAAAAGGAAAGGGTCAAGACCTAGGCGATCATAGCTCTCCACAACTTCCTGTTCTTTGTAGCTCTTAGTAAAATTTGTCTTTTTGATATCTCTCCTAATCCCTATTCTGAGAACGATTTACACAAGTTCGTTAGGTAGGTTATTCGTTGCTTTCCTCTGTTCCTCTTGCCTTTAGTATGTTCTGTGAGTGTCAAATTCTCCAAGCCTTCTTTTCTCATAAGTGTGTCCTAGAAATTTCAACAGTCGCTTTCTGATTTCCTCTGTTTCCATATTCTTTAAAAGTTCATCATTCGTCACATGTTCAGTCCATGGTATTTTCAGCATCCTTCTGTAGAACATCTTAACATCAGCTGCCTCAATATTCTTCATCATCTGCAAGGAGATTATCCAGTATTCTCTGTCAAATAGCAGGACCGGCGGAATGTTGTTAGACGCACCCCCGTCTCGACATTCATAATGATGGATGGGCCACTTACAATGAGTTAGCTGCGCTTGGGTTTCAGCATTAAGTTGTCAACCATAATCAGAATTTTCTTGACCCAAAGATGGGAGCCTGTACTTATCATGTAGAAGCATATTGGGCAAGAAGCAAGAAACGCCTAAAGAGAATTGATGGTTGAAAAGTTGATATGAAATGGTCACATATGGGTGAGGCAATTTATAGAGATTTTTTTAAAAGTTCAAGGCTAATAATATTTGGGAGAATATAGACACTTTTTTTTAACATATATCATTGGAATACACATTTTAAATATATTGCTATACAGTGAAACCTCAGTTCACGAATTTAATTCGTTCCTGAAGTCCGTTCGTAAACCGAATCTATTTTTCCAATAGGAATCAATGTAAAATGGATTAATCCGTTCCTGGTCCCAAGATGATTGCTTATTTGAACTTTAACAACAGTACTTTGTACACAAGTTTAGACACAAAACTAATGAAAATCATTAAATCTAAGAATAAATAAAACCAATACTAAACAGATAAAATATAGACGAACACTTCAGTTTTACGGTACCTGCCTGTAGGAGAGTTGATGACGTAAGTGGGAAGGGAAGAAAAGAGACGCTATTGTTTGAAAAAGAGAAGGAAAAACATGATCATCTCTTTATTTATAAGAATAGTATAGTCGGTGATTTTGCCATATGAAACTGAGTATGAAGAGAAAATCTCAACAACAATTGTTTTTCTCTTAACTTTTCTTTTTCCTTTACCAGTATCACTGATAGCTTTCTTTGGAGCCATGACTGAGGACCAATAAAGAGAGAAAAAAAAAGGCACAATACAATAAAACTGGAAAAGAAAAGCACAGCACCCGAATGTATACAACATGGCGGTCGACTAAGAAATGATTCCGTTTGGGTTAACTCAGTTCGGCAATGTTGTTCGATAACCGAAATTTTGTTCGATAACCGAGGTATTTCCATCTCGAATATTCTGTTCGAAAACCGATATGTGAGACGTTTAAGAACCGAGGTTGCATTGTACTTGGCTTTAAATTAATACTGTCACATGAATGCACTCGAATTAAATTGTGTGTGGTGGTGGGGAGTCCTAACAACATTCCGCCGTATGACCGATATGACATAACACTTTAGCACTCTTTTCTTTGTTTCTAACGACATTTTTCTGTTTCTTCCTAATACTTCAGGAAGACATCTTTCAATATTGCAATGGACATTCGGATTTCGTTGTCACATTTTCCGTCTTCTGTCGAAAACACTTCCTACTTATTTACGTATTTGATTTGGAGGTTTCCAATTCGTAGTCCGCATTGGGTATTGTTCCTTTTTCTGACAACCATACATTCTGTCTTCTTACGACTGAACGTTAGTCCTTTCTTCTCGCTTTCCTTTATTACCTCCTCTAGGAGTTTCTGCAGTTTCCTTTCTCTGCCAGCTAACCGTATAAAAATAAAACTTAGCACCTTCAGTTATCACGTAAACGTTTTTTGTTCGTTGCTGTGTGACGATCAAGAAAAGAAAAATGGAGCTTCCTCAAAATTTAAATAGCATCGGTGGAAAGCAGGTATTAATCACAGCAGGGTGTGGAGTACAAAATGGAGACAAGTCGCGTATTCCAAAAAAGGAAATATTACACATTTAAAATAGTTTGGCACTTTACAAGTAAAGTAGTAATAAGTTTAAGAGACGTCCTTTGGTGCTAAATGCATTTAATGCGTTCTAAAAAAAAAAAAAAAAAAAAAAAATAGAAATATGCTGGATAACATAGACACTTTTTCTTTTTTCCTTTTTTTTTTTTTAATCATTTCGACCCAAGCAAGGTGGGAATTCTACTAGTACGCGTGGGGGGAGGGGTTACAGGAAGTGAAAGTGAAAGAGAAGACTGAGAATAGTGAGGATTGAGGAAAGGACAAAATATGAACGGGATTAAAGACGATAGAAGATAGCAATTGATATTGCATTTATTTTTTTTTTAATTCTAGTTATAAGAGAAGCAAGTAAACGGAAAGGAGTTCCACAGATGGGAAGTGCGAAAAAATAAACTGTAGAAGTGGCGGCTGCATTTAGTAAAAGGACGGGACCTAGATGCCAATCTAGTAGAACGCTTAAATTCATGTAGGCGGGACATCGGGGCAAAAAGCTTGTCAGAGTAGTTGCCAGGAAAATATTTGTATAAAAGATAGAGGGAAGCCACATTGCAAGTGACTGAAGCCGAGATGCCTGGTCAGGATCGATTATATTGCAGATCCTTATTGGGATTTTGTACAGCGGAAGCACCAGACCAGACATGTAACGTTAGACCAGTACAAGAAAGAAACGATAATTTATTGGTGAATCTGTGGGTAATCCTATGAGAAAATGGAG